GCCCCGGTTTGATTCTTGGAGTAGCTCTCTCGTGTTCCCTTTTGATCATAGCGGTTCTTGTCGCTGCAGCGATGTTTCGTGTAAAAAAAGCGAAAGATGAAGACAGAGTTGAAGAATGGGAGGTTGATTTTGGTCCGCACAGATTCTCTTACAAAGAGCTCAAGAAAGCTACGAATGGTTTTGCGGACAAGGAGCTTCTCGGGTCTGGCGGATTTGGGAAAGTGTACAAAGGCAAGTTTCCGGATTCAAACGAGTTAATAGCCGTCAAGAGAATCTCTCACGAGTCAAGACAAGGTGTACGAGAATTCATGTCTGAGGTCTCGAGTATTGGTCATCTCCGACATAGGAATCTTGTTCAGTTGCTTGGTTGGTGTCGAAGGCGAGAAGATTTGCTGCTCGTCTATGATTTCATGCCTAATGGAAGCTTAGACATGTACTTGTTCGACGAAAACCCTAAAGTTATCTTGACTTGGAACCAAAGATTCAAAATTATTAAAGGAGTTGCTTCCGGTTTACTCTACCTACATGAAGGATGGGAACAAGCGGTTATTCACCGCGATATTAAAGCCGCAAACGTTTTGCTAGACGGCGAAATGAACGGACGGGTTGGAGATTTCGGTCTTGCTAAGTTATATGAACACGGATCAAACCCGGGAACTACAAGAGTGGTTGGTACATTTGGGTACTTAGCACCAGAACTCACAAAATCCGGACAATTGACGACAAGCACTGATGTTTACGCGTTTGGAGCGGTCTTATTGGAAGTAGCTTGCGGGAGAAGACCGATCGAAACAAATAGATTACCGGAAGAGCTTGTAATGGTTGATTGGGTTTGGTCAAAGTGGCAAAGCGGAGACATTAGAGATGTAGTGGACAGGAGATTGAACGGTCAGTTTGATGAAGAGGAAGTGGTTATGGTAATCAAATTAGGGCTTCTCTGTTCGAACAATTCGCCCGAGGTTAGACCTACGATGAGACAAGTTGTTATGTATCTCGAGAAACAGTTTCCGTCACCGGAAGTTGTTCCTGCACCGGATTTTTTAGATGCAAATGATAGTATGTGTCTTGATGATCGAAGTGGTAATGCTGGTGAGTTTGAAGATTTTGTGGATTCAGCTAGGTTTTATAGTGGACCGAATGAGACTTCAACTTCGTCGATATTCTCCTTCACGGGTAAAACTAGAACCGATGGAAGATAACATGTTCTTTTAACAACGTTTTGGTAATGTTTTTAAGTAAAATATTTCACCATTAAAACAACTAAACAAGTAATCTGAATATTTAAAATGTAAATTGTTTTCATACTACTTTGAGCTGTACTTGCTTAAGGTTTTGAGTTGATCAATGATTTCTATGATTCTATCTAATCTTGTGGTTATTACAACCTGATTTTGAACGGACGGTTTGACATAATAAGATTGGAGAAACAATTGGCCACCGATTCGGGAAATTACCATCTGTCGTGGAATCCATATCTACACGAGAAAGTCCTAGGAAAGATGTAGATAGCAAACAAAAAAATTCAAAAATCGAAACAAACCCTAGATCAAAATCTCACCAACATTTCATATACTACTTTACCATGATTTGGTAAAGATTCGATCGAAAATTTGGGTTCTCTATTCTATTTCATTTTTTCTTCTTTAAAAAATAATCAAATCGTATTCATCATTAGTTTAGCAAAATAATAGGGGACTTCTTGAAAGGGATAGCTTTCTTGATTGGGAATAAAATCAATAATTTATAATATTGATTGGGGCCTTCATTATGTTTGGGGATAAATCATTAACCGATATTTTGTAAATATATTGCGATTATTATTGTTGTAAAATGTGCAATAAATTTGTTGTTCTCATTATATTGTTTAAAAAATTATTAGATAAAAAACTGTCAAATTTTTTGCTATATTAAATTTGATCTGAACCCAATATTTGTTCAAAAAAATTTAGTAGATCTTATTC